AAGTGACAATTGGGGATGGCTTTACAGAGGTGGTTATGTTTAGTACAAGTCTCAACTCTCAATGGATGAGCATGTGTTCCATAGGCTAAGAAGGGATAATGCAAACCAGACAGAAGGAACGGCATGAGCTAAGTAAAATAGCAGGAAATTTGAGTTTAGTTGTTTGGGTATGGCTCAAATGTGGCCCAATGAAGGATATAACTATAGGGCGCTGCCTATAGCTCAGTGGGTAGGGTGCCGGCCACATACACCTGGACTGGTGGGTTCGAACCCAGCCTGGGCCAGCTAAACCAACAATGACAAATGCAACCCCCCACCTCCGCCCCCCAAAATAGCCAGGTGTTGTGGTGGACGCCTGTAGTCCCAGCTACTTGGGAGGCTGAGGCAAGAGAATTGCTGAAGCCAAGAGTTTGAGGTTGCTGTGAGCTATAAAGCCACGACACCCTACCAAGGGCAACATAATGAGACTCTGTCTCAGTAAAAAAAAAAAAAGAAAACCCAAAGTAACAAGATTACTCCTCTTGCCAGCTCCAAGGATAGAGGGCTGATAACTGACATTATCAGCCTACTACTACTACTCGACCTTCCTCTTCCCTCTATAAGCCTATGGTTGACTTCCTTGTCTGGTGGATATACACATAAAAGGTAACAAAGGAAACATCCTTCTAAAGCTCCCATCATTACCTGCACATTTGGTCTGTTTCTTTTAGTTGCACCTTCAAATGCCAAGTAAGACAAAGAAGCTGGCTCACTTCCTCCAACGTCAACTTTAAATATATCTCCAGATTTAGCTGTCACTATGCCAATCACATGGTCTCCTTTCACAGGAACATACTACCAAAAAAAGAAAGAAAAGTCAGTATGAGAACAGTCATAAATGACCAGATACCATTAGAACATATCTTCAGCAAAGAAGATATCTTTACAGTCATTAAAGAGATGTATTTTGAAATCCAAGGATACAAATTAATAAAAACCTTGTAAGAAACCTGATCATATGCCATTTTTGGTAAAAGACCATCACACCATAAACTCTTGGGATCATAGCTTCTAATAGTCTGTTAGTTTGAGCCAGGATCCCATACCTCTTCAGAATCCTCAGCTGTAAGTCCCTACCTTCGGTCCAGTGGCACAGATCCTTACAATCAGGGTAGCCCATTACACTGTCAGACAAATTTTCCTATATGAAAGTTCTTACTTGTTCTAACAGAACGGACTCCCTATGATATCCACGCAGTGAGCCCGTTCTGTCTTGACAGTTTACAGCGCAAACCTCCTGCTCCCCGACTTTTGGAATTCTGAATACAGTAACCACGACTCAGTCTCCAGACGCTTTTCTCCCACGGCTGCCTTTTTCAGGCTATGTATCTATTGTTCATTGTTCCTCTAAAGGAGAGCCAGAGGTGGACACGAGACAGTAGTGGCTCCAGGCTAGCCTCCACAAAACTCCAGGGCCCCATCTACTCTCACTGCTGCAGAGTCCCAGCTCACCCGTTTCTGCTGCGAATCCACCCAGTAAACGCCACCGCCACCGCCGCTGCCGCTGCTGGGCTCCTTGTGACGGAGGCGGCCGCACTTGGTGACCAGCAGACGGTCCCCAGAACGCCGCAAGCCGGGGCCGCACACTACGCGTACCCGTGAGCGTGTTCCAGCATTCAAGCGCAACGGCCGCTCCCCTCCACCACCAGGGCCTTCTACGTCCTCCTGCTCCGGGAGAAGAAGTTCCTCACCCGGGAGCACTACTTGATTCAGCACTGTGGGCGCCGCCCGCGCCCTGCCGCCAGTGAGAGAGTCGGCCGCAACCGACACTGCTTCAGCCATCGCGGGCACCACCGTATACCCTTTTGGGTATCTGGCTTCCGCTTCCGCTTCCGGCTCCGCGTCCAATCACCAATCACCAAAGCCCTCCTAGGGCTTTCCGTTTCCGGCAGTAGCAGTCGGCTACACTTGGACCTAACTTTGAGAAACCCAATCGCGGTTATCCCGGAGGTTACCGCTAAAAGTGGTTGTGATGTCTCTGACCCGCCATTTACCTTGTAGTCTGTCCGCAGGTGGGCATGAGAAGAGCGCAGCTGGAGTCCATCGAGGAGCCCCCACTTCCGGTGTTGTGGGTCCTATCGCACTGTGGGGTTCCAAGACACATCCATGTCGGGTTCCGTGGGATCCCTGAGCAGAGGAGCTTAGAAAATTGAACGTTAGTTCTACCCTTCCAACTCCGCCCTCGGTAGAGTGGCTGACCTTTTGACAGGAAAAGGACTTTTCCCTCAAAATGTTTTTGGTTGATAGAGAAGATATGCAATTTATTTTTTAAAGACAGAGTTTCACGTTGTCGCCCTATAGAATGCCGTGGTGTCGCTGCGCAGAGCAACCTCAGACTCCTGGGTTTAAGGGATTCTCTGGCCTCAGACTCCCCTGTAGCTGGGCCTACAGGCGCCCGCCACAATGCCCGGCTATTTCTTTTTCTTTCTTTCTTTCTTTTTTTTTTTTTTTTTAGAGGTGGGGTCTCGCTCTTGTTCAGGGTGGTCTCTAACCCGTGAGCTCAGGCAATCCACCTGCCTTGGCCTCTCAAGTGCAGGGATTACAGGCGTGAGCCACCATGCCTGGCCTTAGAAGATACCTATTTATTTTTGGAAAACAGGAGAAGGAAAAAAACAATGTATTAGTCTTGCCTGTTTATTTCTCTTGCTATACTGTCTACATAGACCAAATTCTGGCACAAAATAGGTATTATCAGACGAAAGGACAAATTTAACACTTTAGTGTATATTTCTCCCTAGACTTTCCCCCATGCAAATAAGCAGATATCGTAAACACATTTGTAATCCTAGCACTTTGGGAGGCCGAGGCCGGCGGATGGCCCTGAGCTCACAGTTTTGAGACCAGCTTGAGCCAGAGCAAGACCTCCCTCTCTAAAAATAGCCGGGCGTTGTGAGGGGCGCCTGTAGTCCCTGCTATTTGGGAGGCTGAGGCAAGAGAATCGCTTGAGCCCAAGAGTTTGAGGTTGCTGTGAGCTGTGACGCTACAGCACTTTACCGAGGGCGACAAAGTGAGACTCTGTCTCAAAAACACATTTTCATGTACTTGAGCTATCCCTACATAGCCTGTAGAAATCAATAAATTAAATTCCTACTGCCACTTTCCCTGGACCACACTTAGTTGCCCACTGAAAAACTTCAGGTCTTCTAGTCCTTTAAATGTGGGGGTTGTTATTTGAAACCACCGTTTTCTCTATCAGCTAAAATCTTCAACCAGTGATCAGATTTCTCAGCAGTGATGAGAGGTCCTGGGGTCTTGGAGGACGTGACTCTGTCTAATGGCCTTTAGCTGTTCTCCATTTTTTTTTGCCCATCTCTTTGCTGCACCTGCTCCCAAAGTGAATTTTTAGATTTTTAAAGGATATTTAACACATACCAACTCTAAAGACCCTCCAAATTTATCAAGGGCGCTGGCGAGCCGTTTTTCCCTGTGTATAATAAAAGGGCAAATGAAACAAAACTTCTGTTGTAAAAAACAAAACAAAACAAACAAAAAAATCCTTCTGTTGTTTTGCTTGTTGAAAGAACCGTTATTGGTTAGTTTCCCTGACAGAAGTGGGACCTCATGGGGCAGGGATGGTGTAAATTGTGTGTTTCTCTCTTCCCCTCCTCCAGACGTATTTGGTGACCAACCCTACCTCAATCATGGCTAGCCCTCAATGACGTCAGGTCTGGGCCAGGCAGAGAAGTTCCCTGAACTGTCCTCAAGGACTGCCCGTCGGTGGTGCAGTTTCTGGGGGAGACTTGACCCAGATATAGCAGGGGAGCCCTATGATAACCACTTCCTTGGTGCCGTAAGTACAGAGAGATCTAGTTCTCGTCCAACAAGTGACACAGCTGCAGCAATTAGGAAAAGTCTCCAGCGCCCGGCAACTCCCGGCCGGGCGGGGTGGGGCGGGGCGAGGAGTCCACCCCTACCGGTAGCGCCCGCCCCGCACGCCCCGAGCGCGGGAAAAGCGGCGTCCAGCCATGCCGCGCGCTGCCATGTCGGTGCTTGGCGGCCTCGGCGTCCTGCGGCCGCTGGTGAGTGAGCGAGAGCGCGAGCCTGGGCTTGCGGAAGTCCGCTCGGGTGTGGAGGGAACCCAAGGCCACGTGGAGGCCAGCTCCGCGTCCCGGGGTGTCGTGGTTTGCGGTTTTCGACAAAGCTGCTGGCTTTTCTGGTTCTAAAAGTGGCTGCGGCGGTGGGGGAATGCCGAGGCCAGAAGCCAGTGCAGGCGGGTGTGCGCTTCGCCCCCGGGCCGGCACGTGGGTTCCCTACTGATCCGCCCGGGTGCAGGAGGCCCCTTATCTTTTGGGAGTGTCCCGATTTGGAGTCAATGCAGTGCAGGCCACTCTGCCTTCGATTGCCTCATGCCTGGAACCTCCCCGTTTTTCTGAGTATTTCCCTCAGGGAAATTGCGAACTTAGCCTTCCTAAAGTTTGGAACAGCTTTAGAAATTTTTGCTAGTTAGGGCTGCGCCTGTGACTCAGTGAGTAGGGCGCCAGCCCCATATACCGAGGGTGG